GTCAGCACGAAGCGAAAAACGTTGTAGAATTGATTTGGACGCGTGGACGAGTAGACTAGCATGCGCCGTAACAGTTGACTTTGCTTCATACATCGATGCTTTATTATTGTTTTGTATTTTGTGCGGTGCACATCTGGTAAACAATTAAAAATAAAATAGATTTTTAAAATGAATCACTATACTGTAGAGGAAAAGTTTGATATGATTTATTGGGTAATTCGGGGAAATTCTTTTAGGGAAACGAGAGATCTTTTCTCTGTGAAATACCCGGATCGCCCAATTCCTTGTACCAAAACTATTTCCTCTACTTATGAGAATTTAAAATCAAAAGGCTGCCTTTTACCATGTAAATGCCATAATGTTCCCAGGATTAATGACAACGCTGAATTGCAGGAAATAATGGTTTGTGCAATGGTACAACAAGATTCCACCGTTTCGGTTGCCAAACTTTCTGAAGACACCGGAGTTAGTGTGGGCAAAGTTCATGAAATATTAAAAAAAAAAAAATTAAATCCTACAAATACCAGGTTCATCAGGAAGTTTATGATGATGACAATGTTTGGTTTTAGATGATGACAAGTACCGCAGAATGGAATTCTGTGAAACCGTGATGGAAATGGCAAACGAGGATCCGAACTTTACAAAAAATATTGTTTTAACGGATGAATCCACATTTCCACTTCATGGAAAACACAATCCGTCCATTCTGCGTTACTGGGCCATTGAAAATGAGTACTGGCAGTTAAACTTGCGTACTCATGAGTTAGGGCAGTACCCAGAAAAACTGAATGTTTGGGCTGGTATTTTTGGCGATAACGTTGTAGGACCATTTATTATTAATGGCAATTTAAATGGTGAATCTTACTTGCACTTATTGCAGAACCAAATTATTCTTGCATTGCGTGTCATTAATCCAAACCTAGACAATGTATGGTTTTAGCAGGATGGATGTCCAGCCAGCAAATAGTCTACGAGTTGTAGAATATTTACAACAAATATTCCCTAACAAAATTTTTTCAACACGGGGCACAATTCGGTGGCCGGCGAGGTCACCTGATTTGGCCCCGAATGACTTTTTTTGTGAGGCTATATTAAGTCTATGATTTATGGACATGAGCATCAGAGGGCTAATGACCTAAACCAGCTTCAAATTAAAATTGAAGACCAATTTCAGACCATTACTCCTCTTATGCTAGCAGGATTTCTTTTTTATTTTTAAATGTTTTTAAGAGTACACTTTTATTTAATACAAAACATAACAAAATCATACATTTCATATGATTATGAGTCAGTTTTTTAAACTTCTGCTAATTTTAATTTGATTTCTTTTACACAGATCGTATTAAAAGAAACAAATTTTAATAGTTAGCAGAAAAATAAAAAACTGGTTCTAATGGATAAAAATTTAATTTACATAAGGAATTCATTCGAGCATAGTTGTACATCAATGCTTACAGCTCAAGTGGCATAGCCACACCGCAGGTGTATGTATCTTGGCCACACTGACTCCACTTGAGTGACTCAAGTTGAGTCTCGATCCCTGGCGATTAAATTTGTTTTAGTACGCATGTCTCGACGACGCATCCAAATAATTTCTGAGAAGGTTCTCGCTTTGTGTTGACTGCGACTTATCTGGTCCAGTTACAATGTATTTTCCCTATGGTTAGCTTGCAAATGAAGGTACGGTATATATATATATATATATATATATATATAAATATACAGGGTGTCCCGAAATTAGGGGGCCAAACTTAAACAGTGCATTCTTTATAGAAAAATAACACTTTTTTGTTTAATAAACATATATCAAAAAATGCCCCTTAACGGAGCTACGCCCCCCTAAATAGGAGCTTAAGATCATCATTTTTTTAAAACTATTCCTAGAGGGTTGAACATGAAGACCTGAATTTTTGGGACTTTGGTAATTTTGACATTCTGAATCTGGATCTATAATCAAAACTGTTAAAATTTAATCATAGGCGTAACATTTGAGGGGGCAAATTTACAAAAACAGCCCCAACTTTTTGCAGAGTGTATTTTAATGTTTTGTTATAAAATTATGAAAATGTATAGTTTTTCACGAAAAATAGGTACTCTTGCTTTGAATCGCTCAGATGCACCATTTTCGAGAAAATTGCATTGACTTTACATTTATTTTTATAGTTTAGTTAATATTTTTTGGCTCGATTTTTGTTATTTTTTATTAAGGAGCGATTTTCCAAATTTTAACACAAAATTTTAACGAAAATGAGAGGTGTGTATGCTATGCAGAGCAATTTATAAATGCATTTTTCTCGAAAATGGTGCATCTGAGCGATTCAAATCAAGACTACCTATTTTTCGTAAAAAACTATAAGTTTTCATAATTTCATAAAAAAAAATTAAAATATTATCTCGGAAAAAAGTTGGGGCTATTTTTATAACTCCCCCCCCAAATGTTACGCCTATGATTATTTTTTAACAGTTTTGATCTTGGATCTTGATTCAGCATCTAAAAATTACCAAAGTGCCAAAATTTCATTTCTTCATGTTTAACGCTCTAGGAATAGTTTAAAAAAAACTATCCTCTTAGGCTCCTATTCAGGGGGGCGTGGCTCCGTTAGGGGGCATTTTTTTATACATGTTTATTTAACAAAAAAGTGTTACCTTTCTATGAAGAATGCACTGTTTAAGTTTGGCCCCCTAATTTTGGGACACCCTGTATATATACACACACCGGGTGTATCTGAGAATAGGCGCACCCCTGTAACTTTTTTATTTATAAAGATAGACACATTAAATTTAGCATTGTTAATAAGTATATAAAATTTCACTTATAAGAGTACAAAATGAATTTTTTGAACTTCCGGTTTCGCCGGAAATGATATCAACTTTCGATTTTTAAATGGAACGCTCTATATATTTTTACATATTTAGAATCATGAGAGAATTAGAGTAGAACAGCATCCTCAAATTGACCTTTCGACGTTTCATAAGCAGAAATGACTTTTCATGGAAAGATTGCCTCCTTAATACACCTATCCATTGATGTTAATTTTTGAACAAAGATTGTAAGTTAATAATAATAATTATTGTAACGCCCAAATTATTTATTTTTTTAATATATAGTTAATTTTTGGTATTTTGATTTGTTTTATGGTATATTATTATAAAAAAAATTTTTTTTTTGAGTTTTTGTTTTTGGGTTAGGAGAAAATTGCCGTCCTCATTTGAGGACGCTGAGCGTTGCACGTTGGAAAGTTATCATTTTAATTGATTTTGTTTTTTGATCACAATATTAATCGCGAACGTGTTTTTTAATAATATTTTACAATAAAAAAACTTAAAATGTTAATAATAATTGATAAACATACCTTTGAACATTTATGACCTATAGGAACATCTACCGTGATACAATAAATACACAATAATAATTACGAATGTTTTTTTATTATTTTTACAATATAAAAGTTCCTAATAATTGCAAAACATAGTTTTGAACATTTATATGGCGAAAAAATATATGTCGTGATATTTAGGAAAACAAGGAATACACAATGTCACGTTACATTTTTGGCGGTTTTCCCTTACAGGATTCAAATTGGCAACGGCGTTGATTTTCCCTGTTTTGCATCATATGATTCTTTCCATCAAATCTAACACCCTGAAAAAAATTGGACCTCGATGTAGAAGGTAGGTTTAGTGGTCTGCCTCTTTGTACTCGCCTACCATGTCCTAGTTTTAGGTATGAAACGGCTATATTTCTGCGAAACTCCTTTATTGATGTAGCCTCTTCTGGATGTAGTAAATTGTGTAAAATAAAACTATTCACCACAGCCATATCCACAATACGAGTGAACAAACACCAATACCACTTTTTACCTCTAATGGCTATTGAATGTTTCTCTAGTAGCCAATCGTGGTGATCTACACCCCCATGTATTTATTGTAATTATTAATTAGTTTTGGCTGTGGAATCGCACTTTTCCCTTTTTTCTCCTTATCCCACCTCTGGACTGAACATATTGGCTCTAGAGTATCAAAATTTGTTCACATTGTTACACATTTGTTGTCATTCCATCTTACCATTAGAATCTTATCTTTTTGTCAAATCGATAATCAAATACGCCCCTCTTTGATTTTTCTATTTCTTTTACGGATTTTAAGGTGCATTTTTCTGTCCTGTTGTCTCTTATTGTGCCGCTGGCACGAAATCCTTTTTCTTTTAAAATTTTAAACAAATTATAACTACTAAAGAAATTGTCAAAATGGACTGTGTACCCATACGGATCATCTACCACAGACCGCATATTTGTTACTACCCTTGTTCCCAAAGGATTATTAGATTGAGTAGGTGCTTTTCCACAATAAAGGGAAAAATTAAAACAGTATCCACTTTCACCACACATAGCCCACAATTTATAACCAAATCTTATTGGTTTGCCGCGTATAAATTGTTTTAGTCCATGGTGGCCGTAATACCTTACCATCATCTCGTCGATGGATAAATGCTCTTGAAAAATACCCAATTTCCGAAAATTATCGTTTATACTGTCAAGAAGTGGTCTTATTTTGAACGCCCGATCATGCTTATTTTTGTCTGCTTGTGCATTATCTTGCAAATGTAAAAATGACTTAATTTCTAAATATCGGTTCCGACTCATTCCGTCCTTTACCAATTGTACACCTAGATCTTCAGCATCAGACCAATAATCTCGTTCACTTGGCAGTCTATAATATCCAGAAAATATTAAAAATCCAATAAATATTTTTATATCTTCAATTGTAACATAACATGACTTTTTATTTTTTTGTACAGTTGCATACCGAACAGTTTCGTCTACAATCTTTTGATATACTGCCTCAGAAAAAAAATGTTCAAAGATTGTCAGCATGCTTGCATTAGATAATGTGTGCAACATGTTGGCAAAAAGTACTTCTGAAGAATTTGTATTTTTCCATTCATCAAAATCCGGTTCAATATTCCTCCATTTTGGTATATATTTTTCGTTTTTCATAACCTTCATCCGCTTTTGAGCAGATTTATCTGTTTCATTTTCCGAAGAATCTGAATGATCTTTTGGAAACGATGTTGATGGTCCTTGAAGCCTGGATAACGGAATATCGTCATCGGAAAGTATATCAATTTCTGTCTCTCCTACAGTATCTGTTACAACAGGTTCAGCCAGATCATTATCGTCAATTTTCTCTTCATCTGTAAGGTCATCAACAAGGGGTGGTAACGCTATGATATCAGCTTCAATCTCTTCTGAATAGAGATAATCGACTGCCTCATCCAGTGTTTTAAAAATATGGTGTCTACTCATGTTAGTTTTATCTGAAAAAAACAATAATTATTATAATTAAAATTAAAGTAGTGCCCAGCGTCCTCATATGAGGACACCACATTACAAAAAATTGAAAGCACAAAATAAAAAATTAAGACCATACATACACAGATACATGTTTTAAGTTAACAATAATACAATATTTAACCACTTACCTCGATTGCAATAAAAGAAATAATATGATACATCACCAACACACAGAACAATAAAAAAGAGAGAATTTAAAAAAATATTATGACTGACTTGTATGAAATCAGGGGGTAAACTAAATATTTCCGGGCGGTGCCAGACTCATGCACGTGCGCGTAATCTAAAAATAGATTGCATTAATTGTTTCTTGGAAATACTACGCCCGTAAATTTTAACTGTCCTCAAATAAGGACGCTGGGCGGAAATGGGTTAATACACCTATCCATTGATGTTAATTTTTGAACAAATATTGTAAGTTAATAATAATAATTATTGTAGCGGTTTTGAAAAAATGACAAAAATACGGTTTTTTATTTTGAAAAAACTCTTAAATGGCCACCGCAAAGAACTTTTTATAACAATTAAATTGATAACTTGGTCCAGAAGTTTTACTTAAAACATATTATAAGAACTTGGTATTAAATAAAAAACACCATACAGTTCATGCAAATTTCTTTAAAACTTTAATTTTTCTACACCCCTTATAAGGTAAATCATGCATTTAATTTTTAAATGAGTATTTACCCCAATTTTTTTAACACGTTGAGCCACATCAGCCCAGAGAGCTTCAACCAAACAATTTCTTAAATGTCTACCATCTTGCCCCTCGGCCATTGCTCTAACAGATAACATCCAAATGTGCAACTCAGTTATCACAAACCAGGAATAAAAAGTATCAGGAAGATCCAATTCTTCAAAAAACTGTAAATAGTTTATTGTGTCCACTATACCCTCATACAAGAAATAGGCGCTACCTTTAATTCTCTAAAAAAAATATTACTTAATTAAATAGTATTAATGTATTAAATAGTATTTATGTATTTAATAAATACAGTAAAATTTATATCCATCTTTAATAAATACAGTAAAATTTATATCCATCTTTGGATCTAAATTAGTTATTTTGTCTCCTTAAACAAATTTTTATATACCTACAGTATAACAAGTTATTTTGAAATACGCTGATTGTAGTAACTAATTTTTAATGATAAATTTGATTTTTGCATTCTTAAAGACATGTTATATACAGGATGTTAACAAAAGGTTATTGAAAAATTTAACAGTAGTATGTAAATAATAATAAAATATATACCAGATTAGTTAAAGAAATCACTCCTAAATGAGCTAGAGCCCCTTAAAAGTCTATCTGAAAATGTTTTTTCTAAATATTTCCAAAACCTGAGGAGATAAAAAAAGTAAAATTTGGTATGAATACCTAACATTTCAAACGTATTATTAATAATAGTTTATTCAAGTGTGAAATAGGTACATCATATTTCGCTCGAGTGAAAAGTTTGTCACACGAGCCGAAGGTTCATTTTTGCAATTTCTATCCTACAATTGTGGGTTCATCTACGATTGTAACTTCAACTTACAATTGTAACTTGATCTTACAATAATTGTAACTTGAACTTACAATTGAGGAGGTGCATTCCAAAACTCGGCTTATCCATATTAGCTGTTTTTGAGCAAAATGTCAAAAACCTTACACTTAAGTACTAACGCATATCAGGCCAACAGAATAATTTAAACGAAATATATAGACATAAGTAAAACATTTATATACTCTGATTAAAAAGGTATAGCTCCAATTTAAAATAATTTAAAATTACATAATATATGCCGAGCTCTGCACGCTTTAATAGATAAGGTAAGTTTTTGAACAATAGTCAATTTGTAAATGAATTTAAAATGGAATAAGGTGAGTTTTAGAATATTATGAATTTTTCAGGGCATAGTAGATAAGCCGAGTTTTGGAATGGACCTCCTCAATTGTAGGTTCAAGTTTTTTTTTTTTTTTTTTTTTAATGAAAGTAACATATATTTATTTAAAACCAAAATAATCACAAATAAAAATCAAAAGATCAGGAGATCGTACATACATTGCTCTTAATAATAATAATAATAATAGGTATTTATTGCCCAACAGTACATACCATAAATGGACATTCATATAATAGTGTTTACTTACAAATACTAGCTTATAAATAAATAATACAAATAAGTTAAAAACAATATATAAATAATTAAAAATATAAATAGTTAACAATTTTTACAATTAACAATATAAAACACTAGGATAAACAATTTTTTATAAAGCTTAAGGAAGAAAAATTTATATCACAGGAAGTAGAAATAAAATTGAATATATTGCACATAACATATAAAGGAGATTTTTTAAGTGTGTTTGTACGAGCAAAGGGACATCTAAACGTTATACATTGTCGGCTATTACAACGAGGAATATTAAAGCACAATTGACCCAACAAATCCATGCAATCGATCTGATCATGAAGAAGTTTATACAAAAAAGTTATTGAAATAATTTTTCTTCTCAATTCCAAAGACAATACATTAAAAGTCTCTAACAGAACTAAATGATCATAACCCTGTGGTGGATAAAAATTGAATATTCTAAAGTTAAGAATTTTTAGGAATTTACGCTGTACATTTTCAAGGTTTGTTATGTGATAGGCATACAGGGATGGTAATGGGCTCTTAGGCCGTTTAATAAACAAAGATGCATGCTATATGAAACGTACGAATAAGTGAGATAAACGTATAAATAAGAGAGACAAACAACCATTGTTGAACGAATAGGATAACAAAATACTTATTTCCCCTCTGCCATAAGCGTGCAGTACAAGATTTTAAAACGATTAAATCAAAACAATTAAACGTCCGCCAATGTCTACTTCCCCTCCTCTAACTGCTTTACAATCCCACCAAGATACATACACCTTAAGATAGGATGGGGCGCATGTTGGGCGGGGCTTAAATATGTCACTTGATGAGTGTTTTTAAATCTTTAACGTGCTTTTTAAGTATCTGCTGCTAAAATTCTTGTTTTTGCGATGCTGTTGGATGTTGCTTGCTCTCTTTTTTGTTTAACTTGTTGTTTTTGCTTTCGGTAAGGTTCGAATTACTTTTCAGTGTTCAAATTTTTGTTATTGCGTTGTGTTAACCTGTTTTGTTTGTTTATTATTGCTTTTGTGTTGCGTTAACTTGTTTTGTTTGTGTGTTAGTTTGTGTCGTACCATTTGAATTTATTAAAATGCGGTGTGGCATATTTGGATGCAATTCAGACAACCAGTCCAAGAAAAACCCTTTAAATAAAAACATTAAATTTAATCGATTCCCGAAAAACTTTGATTTGTGGAAACAGTGGTTAAATGCCACAAAAAGAATAGGCAATATTAACGTTAAGACCGCTTCTGTTTCCTATAAACATTTTCTGGACAGTGGCTAATTTAATTTAAAACACCAAGGCTTAAACTACAGCCCTAAATGTTATCAAGGACTAAAAGCATCTATTATCCATATTATAACAATTTCTTTGATATTAAGTTTAATAAAAACGCACTATGTCCAGATATTTCTCTATTTTCTTTGATAATATTACTTTTATTCGTGTATATGCGCAGCATGAACCAAAACTCGTACACGGGAGCATCCAGCCCTGGCGCGGCGCGGTCTGGCCTGCCCCACCACTATTTCGTCACTCCACCACTCCCACGTCTCATAATGCATTTGTCTTTATTTATTAAACGGCCTAAGAGCACATTACCATCCCTGTATATTGGAGACCAAACCACGCTGGCATACTCAAGTTTGCTGCGCACTAACGAATAATATAGTAATTTAACGGACTGAGAAGAAAAACCTTTGGTATTTCTAAAAATAAATCCAAGGGTCATTGTTGCAGATTTTATATTTGTGTTAATGTGACTTACAAAGCTTAACTGTTGATCAAAAATAACACCCAAGTCTTTCATTACAGAAACTGTATCCAAGGGAATATCATTAATGCTATATTCAAAAATAATTGGATTTAGTTTTCTGGTATAGCGCATAATCTTAAATTTAGATATATTCAACTTTAAACGATTACTAAGACACCACTGGTTTAAAGTATTTAAATCATTTTGAAGTTCAAAGCAGTCATTTAAGTTTTGTATACCTTTAAAATTTTTTAAATCATCCGCATATAAAAGCTTGGAGCAACTTAAATTTAATGGCAAGTCATTAATAAAAATAACAAAAAGAATGGGTCCTAAATTAGATCCTTGCGGCACCCCTGAACAAGAGGCAAACCACTCGGAACAGTAACCATTAACAATGACATATTGTTGCCTATTAGTAAGGTATGATTCAAAAAGTTTAATAAGCATATCATCAAAACCCATCCGCCTTAATTTATTTAATAAAATAAAATGGTCTATTTGATCAAAAGCCTTTTGAAAATCGGTATAGATAACATCCAATTGGCCATTGCTATCAATCGTTTGACTAGCATGTTGTGTAAATGAAACCAAGTTACTTGTGGTAGATCGTTTTGTAATAAAACCATGTTGAAAAAGGGACAACATATTTTTTATTTGATCAAAAATTTTTGTATTTATTATTGTTTCGAATATTTTAGCAAAATTACATAAAATTGATATTGGTCGGTAGTTGACAATAAGCGAATTATCACCTCGTTTTAATACTGGTATGATTTTAGAAATCTTCCCCATGTCTGGAAACAACCCAGATTTTAAAATTTTATTAAAAATAATCAAGAGGGGATTAGCCAGGGCTCCACTTACACCCTTACAATTGTAAGTTCAAGTTACAATTGTAGAATAAACCCACAATAATTGTAGGATAGAAATTTCAAAATCAAGTTAGTTTTGGCTGAACCTTGTGAAATTTTTGTTGGCCCTTCGGAAGCTACAATTGTAGGAAAAAATTGCAAAATTTAGTTTTGTCTGAAACTTGTAAAAAATTGTATTGCCCTTCTACGCCTTCGTACGAAGGCGTGTCTCGAGAGCGGAATATGCAATTCTAAATGTATTTCGGACTATAATTTTTCTACGTATCAATAAATACCAATGAAAAATAATTTAATTTGGAAAAAGTAAGGTTGGATTGGTCTAAAAGTTATTACATAATAAACCCTTAGATGCCGCCACCAGTGTTTATTCCGTCATCCAATGATAGAATAATTCATTCTGTAAAACTAAGAAATATACATATAATTCCACATTAAAAAGTGATATTAGAACGGTCATGTTCCATAATAGAAGTGGAAAAAATAAAGTTAAAATTTGTGTCAGGGGCGTCTCAAACCCAACCCTAATTTTTTGTGTATTGACTTTTTGCCATTTTGGAATGACACTATTAAAAATACAGTTTATTATGTAAAAAAATGCCGACTTGTCTTAACCAGTCAGGTTGGAACCACCCTCCCAACCTATCCCTTGTCCTTATTTGAACTCTTGAAGACAACTAACCGGTACCTCTCTCAAAACACACACAAGTATACAACCCACAAAATACTATAATTCTACGGTGCAAATAAACTATAGTGCATAGGATCTACAGTAAAATAAATATTACCTAACAGGCACAGAAGTGATTTAGTGAGAAGTAAATAGCAGAGTAGGACAATAAAACAATAATGAAGTGAGAACGACACAAAACCCATATACTAAGAAGCCTTCCCCAATAAAAAAAGTGTTTAAAACTAAAATAAACATCTGACACTTCAAAAGGCATGGAACTACCCTGCTTAAAATACCCCATAGAGACCTATACAAATATACCTATACCTATTAGGGGTGTCAATCCCGAGCCCATTTTCCAATACCGGGCCTTTCGGGACCAAAGGTAACTAATCCCGGGATCCCGGGATCAGTCCCGAAAAAATATATATCATTAATTTTAAAACCAATTTAAAATAAAACAACAAACAAACTAACGAACGATATCTTTCGGACTTC